TGGGCATGCTCGAAGTAAATAATTTAGCAAGTATATTCGCCAGAGCATTTGCAGTCATCCCTAAAACGAACCATGGCTAGCGTTGAAGGGTCGTGGATTCTTCGAGGATTTGAGCCAACGGGTCCTGACTAAACAAATCTGTTTGGCAGTTGTGCAATCTCCACCCTGGATGGGACCATGTATTCCAGCACTTCTTGCCCAAGAAGCTTGGAATCGCAACAGTCTGCTGAGGCACTTGTGCTTAGCACGAGTGATGGGAAGGATTGATGGAGGGCTCAGGGAGCCCCTTGGCTTCAGAGATTCACCGGCTCTTGCAGGATGAGCCTATGTTTAACTTCCTGTGCGAGCGCACCTTCAGCAATCACTCGGACCAGGGAGTCGTGACGCTGCCGAAGATAGCGCCCATGGTTCAAGGCATACTGCAGTCTGCAGGCCAGCCTGTATCATCAAGTGACCTCTACCAAGTTTGGACGCGACACTGTGATCCTGATATGCACCAGATGGCGCTATCGCATTTCAAGAGCTTCTTACGAGCTCTTCTCAAGCAATATGTGCACGGTGCCAGCGGACACCAGTGCCAAGACTCAGAACCCAGGGAGGTCGTGACACAAGCGAGTGCAGGTAGCACGTGGGCCAAAGTTGCCGAGCCACGCGAAGCTTTCAGCCAAACACCGCTGCGGATGAACCAAATGGTTGAAGCCGAAACACAGCCGGCAACTGCACCAAGCCAAGCCAGCCGCACAACAGAGGCCATGGCAGCCCCAGAAGACACAGCTTCTCAGCCGGCAGCCCAACCCCAACCCACGCGCGCAAGGAACAGCCCGTTGCATGGTCGTCCTCTTGGCCGGCCAATGTCTGCTGAGGCGCGAGCGGAAGCACGAGCCGAGGCACGTGCCGAGGCACGTGCCGAAGCAAAGCGAAGTGCCAAGGCTGAGCCAGAGTCAGCCTTCCGACGTGCTCGAGCTCATTCCCAGCCCAAGCCACGGAGGGCTTCTCCTGCAGCGCCAGTTGCAGTTCCAGAGGCAGCTACACCGAGCTCAGCGTCCTCGATGTCTGCCCCAGCACCGCCGACTCGCAAAGGAAACGGGGCCGACAGCAATACCGGTCACGTACCTTCCAGGCTCCCAGCATCACCTGAAGATGCACTCGCCAAAGCCTATGCAGAGTTGCCAGACAGCCTGGATTTCTCTGCGCTACAACCTGAAGTTGAAGACGTGGACAAGCTTTATGTGAGAACAGGGTCTGGAGTTTTTACGTGTATGAGGGATGCGCTGCAAGAGATGAGACGGCTGCAAGATGAACTACAAGACGGCTTGTTCGTTGATTCAAGCTTCGGGCCCACTGCGCAGCATGCCTCTGTAAAATCTGTTCCGCCCGTCATCGACACCTTGCGGGACGTGAGTTGGCTCAGGCCTTGGGAGGTCTGGGACTCCTTTTCGTTTTGCGGTGAGCTGGCAGAGGTGAAGCTTGGGGTTTTCGGGGACGCATGGTTTTTAGGTGCTCTTTGCTCTCTGTCGCTGCGGGAGTACTTGCTCTTTGGGCATCAGTCTGGTGAGAAGCCACTGGGCGTTTATCCTCGGCCGTTTTGGGACCCAGAGCTTCGCCGTCGTGGGCTATACTGCTTTCGATTCTCAAAGCATGGCCGTTGGTATTATGTTCTGGTAGATGACCGCTTGCCCTTCCGGCACAAGGAGCCGCTCTTCAGCCGAACGCATGGGTTGGACAAATCACCACAGACATGGGCTGCCTTGATTGAAAAGGCATATGCTAAACTCCACGGATCCTATTCTGCTTTGTCGCTTGGGTTTGTGGACGATGCGTTGGAAGACTTGACTTCGTGGCCGACAGAGAAAATCCAGATGGCAAAGTTTGCAGGGAAGGTGGAGGTGGATGGTGTTCAAGTGTCCGCTGACAAGGATCCCAATGAGCTCTGGCAAACGCTGCTGCGGGAAACGAGAACCAGGGCTCTTTTGATGTGTCTTCGTTCAGATTCCAGCAGCACTGGCGCGTCAGAACTGGTCCATGTGGACCCTCGTTTGCTCGGATTAGAAGCACGCAGTGATGCAGGGCTTTTTTGCACTGGAGTGCAGGGGAACTGGGCATATCCCATGCTGGCAATGCAGGAGGTGGAGTTAGAGTCTGGAGTTTTTCAGGTCGTGCGGCTGCGATCCTTCACTTCCAACCGATGGTGTGGTCCTTGGAGCGATCAGGACTTGGCCTGGAGTCAGGCTGGCGCGGCGGATGTCGTAGAGGAGCTCCAAGTCGAAGGCTTTGCGGAGTTTCTACCTGCATGTGGGCTGCGAGCTGGCGGGTCTGGCGTGCATCAATCCACGCTACGCCCGCAGAAGCTGTTGCAGGATCTCGGTAAGGATACGGCAGAGCCGCACGATGGGACTTTCTTCATGAAGTTCCCGGATTGGCTCCACGTCTTTAGCCATGTGCTTCTACAACAGCCGCAGCTTGAGGAAGACGGGTGGCAAATGCGACGGGTACAGGGTGTGTGGACGCGCGATTCCTGTGGGGGTACGCCCATACCTGTCCAGCATCCCGTCCTCGCAACGCCGGAGACTTGGGCTCGAAACCCGCAGTGTCGACTCACTGTCTCGCATGGCTCGGACATCGAGCTTTGCATCACACTGCATCAGCAAGATGCCAGGCTCTCATGTGATCCGCGAACTTCAACCTTCCCATACGAAGAGAAGTTGCAGCAGATCTTCGTGTGCGTCATGTGGTTGAATAGTCCTGCTGAAGACTTGACCGTTTTCGACAAGAAGCGCATTCTGCGGCACAAAGCGGCCAGCGCAGCGAGTTTATTGAGCCGCAGAAGATCTGTGTTTCTGCGGACGAGATTACCTGGTCCGGGCAGCTACGCCATTGTCCCTTCTACGTGGGAACCGGACCTGCAAGAAGAGGTGACTTGGCCGCAACAGGACTGGCTGCTTGCTGCATTTGCTGCAGGGCTGACTGTTCACATTGCACTGAGTTGCCTTTCGTCTTGCTGATCCGCTTGAAGTGCGTGTCGGACCAGTTCAGCCTGGATGCTTCACCGGACCAGGGGTGGTGTCTGGAAAAGGAAGCTTTGCGCAGGTTTTGGGCAGCTGTGTAGCCAGGGCTGCATCCTCAATGCGTGATTGGAGGGGTAGCTGAGCGCAGCCAGTGAAGATAAGGCATGGTTTTTTGAGGTACTTCATGCCCCAGATGCATCCCTCATGTAATCTCTTGTAAGGACCACATACTGCCCTTGCAGTCTCTCTGTGGGAAACCCCCCCATGTAGGCCAGACGAAAAAGGCTTGGCATGCTTGGCTCGTATCCGCCTATGGCTCCAAGGGCACGTCCCTGCTGCTAGTTAGCGGCATCCCGCAGAAGTCTCATGTCGGATGCCGATGTGTCACCTGATCCGCCAGAGGATCGGCCAGCAGCGCACGACCACCCAAAGGGGTATGTGTCCTGGTTTTAGCATGATACATTGTAATCGATCGTTATTGTTTTTTATAAGATAACATTCTGCAACTATAATATGCCATAAGCATATTGCTGGTTTGGATTCGCGTTGAGAAAGCACGGCAAAGCCTTGGCATGCGACACGCCTTGAGGTTGGCTTCATTTATGAGGACGCCTTCAAAGAGCTTTACACTGGCACCTCCACTGCCTCAGCAGATCCAGGAGAGGAGAAGGAGGCAGAGGGAGAAGCTGGTGTGAAACTCAGAGCTGCTGCTCCTGTACCCCCCTTGGTCAAATACTCCCCTGTAAAGAATGTCCATGTGGTGCAGATGGAGGGGCCTGAGGCCAACGATTTCCGTTACGGTAGGTTAGGTTCGCAGTGGGGCCTTGCTATAGCTGCTACTAACATCACACTGGATGCTCAGCCTGTAGTGAGATGAAACCATGCCTCAGCCCACCCAAACAGATCACCTATCTGCCCGTGAGCCCGTGAGCTTCCCCCATCGGCATCATTTGTCCATCCTTGGGAGTGGCGCCTCGCGTTTTGCAGGCATTGCCATCCCATTCAGGTTTGGTGTCCTTGTTGCATGTCGTGGCGTAATGACGCATTTTCATATCACATGTTTCTTCCGTTTCCTTATTTTGGAACTGTTCAATGTACGCTCTCATGACATGTTGCCGGCCTACCGCTATGAGAGTGGGGTGGCATGCAGCAATGTAGGCCCAGAGTGCGGGTGCGAGACAAATCCCTTACAAGATACGAGAAAAACACCAGCAAACATATGATAGCCCGCAACGTTCCAGCACAAAACGCCGCTGCGTTCTGATTCAAGCCCATGCTGAAAACTTCAAATACGATGTTGCCAGACTCGAGCGCATGCAGCGCAACGTAGGCACTGCTGAGTCTCTCTACTTCTTGCGCTGTTTGCTTTGCCTCCCTGGGTGGTAGCCGCACGGGAGTTGGGATCTCCAATCGATCTCTAGGTATATATTTTTGTTGCAGGTTCAGCTTGTGACACAATCCAAGGTGCTGCGGCAACCGCCGTGAATCCCATAGATGGTGAGATCAACCTTAACAAGGACACCCACCTTTTTGGGTCGCGAACAGCAGGGTTAAGTTGTTGGAGCAAAGGCAAAGTCACATGACGTCATTTGATGGTTGCCTAAAGCCTATCAATGCAGAACAGATGCGCGAAGGAGGCCGAACAGATCAAGGGCATAGAGGACAAGCTCCTGGCTGATGGAAATCACCTGGATCACGTCCAGAAACTGCTCCGTACCATACGACAGGCAGCGAGAGAGGGCGACCAGGAGGACGGTCATGTGGTTGCAAGGCATGCATTTGCGTCTGGGCCGTCTGCAACACCCTTTGAATCTATCATAAGTCCGCTTGCATCTGCGATAGCGATCCCTACAATCTTATTATCCTCATCCCCATGAATTTGTAGGATCAGGGTACCCAGGTAGTCCTATTCTAAGACGTGCTCACCTGGAGGAAGCAGTAGAGCTGCTGCAACGCTGGGGCCTTGTGATGCGGGAGCAGCTGCCAGTTCCAGAAAGCAACTGGACTTCAGCCAAATAGCCGTTCTTTGCTGAAAAGCTTAGCAGGCTTAGCACTTCTTACAGCTGAGGCAAGCTGAAGCATAGAATCGATCCCAATGAAATGGAACGTGAAGGTCTTATCATACCGCCGCCGTCCTAGACCTTCCGGCAGACGGCGAATTCATCATTGTGCTGGCTGCTTTGAACCCAATACCCATGACCAGGCGCCGTATGATGGAAGACATGGAGCGATTTTATGAAATCAAGAAGGGAACCATCCCGCAGCATGACAACCTGCTAGCGATTTCCAAGCCTGAGGACCTGACTCTGCCACGCCTTGCGGTTGCAGGTCCATAGGCATTTTCAAATTGGAGCACGAGTCTGCGAGGAGCCCAATCATTTCAAAATGACAAAGTCTTTGCAGCTTCGGGCAGACACTATGCAGGACAGCACTTCGTACAGACTTCATCATTTGACTGAGTGTAGATCACCTGGTCCTGCAGCAGGTCAAAGCAACCCTAACTGAAGAGCAGAAGCAGCTCATCGCAGCAGATTTGAAGGTTCGGTGGGTATCAAGAGCCAGCCAGGGTAGTCCCAGAATTCATGGAGTCTGTTCGCCCGTAGGAGAGATTACGAAAGCGGCCTCGGATGCCAGCTGGACTAAATGCTGATCAGAAAGCCAAGAATAGAGAAATCGTCAAACGGATGCAGATGAAGGCCAGAGCAGCACTTCATGTAGCGACGTCTTGAATGTCACAGTAGCATGTCAATCCGGGAGGTCAACTTCCTGAAGAATCCGCGATTTCTAGCTGATCGGCAAGGGAAGGATAGGGGTGAGCCATGCCCGTTTTGGCCGGCGACCCAGACCAAGTGGCTTGGTCTTTTGCTTCTCAAGTGCAATGCTGCAAGCTGATACAAAGGTTCACCCCAGAGACTGTCCTTTATCGGAATTACGAGATTGGCGGGCTCTACCAAATCCATGTGGCTTCAGCTGCACCATCTTGCAAAGGATGTGCATGCAATACAATCATGCCATCACCAAGGTAGATTTCCGAAATGCTACTGGAATCAGTCGGCGCCTTCGGATTCTTCCGTGCAACAACACGGCTTTCTCCATAAAGGAGCTCAAATATGACAAGGACATCGGACCAAAGCTTTCAAGGGGCTTGTTCGCGCGTGCGGTTGCAATACCAGGAGCTCAATGCGGAGAGACCAGAATTAGTCGGGCTCGATCCTCTTGCAGCTGTAGTGGCGCCGGGCATGGCAGCCCATCTCACTGTGCTAGCGACTCAGAGCGACATCCTGATCATGTTGTTGCATTCTGCTCGATGAAACACCAACATTCAATGTTGCAAAGGTCGTTCGCGCCTAACACGCTGAATGACGAGACGGAGTTTCTGACGGTATGTACAGAGATCGGAGACTACCAGCTGCCATTGTTAGCTAGGCGCGATCAGCCCAAGCTGAAGATCGATGAGCCCGTCAACTGCGGATGCATGCTGGCAGGCGCGGGGTCTAGTAGAGCCCATCCTTCAATCACTTGGTGGCCCTGCAGGAAACAACATCACGGAGCCTGTCCGGATACAAAACCTGGGTGGTGAAGGAGCTTTTCGGCTCATTGTCAGCGAGCAAGACGCGCCGGAGGATTACTGTTACGAATCCTACCCCGGACAAGAGCTGACTCTGGTCGTCGGGTCCTTTCGTATCTCACCAGCCTCGTTTTACCTGGATGCCAACTCCTTTACGGACTTGAGTGTTCGCTTTGAGGCTGACAAAGTGGGGCATCACAAATGTCCGCTGTTTGTAGAAGGTGACAATGGTGAAAAGACACCGATTACCTTGGTGGCAGTGTGTGATGCCGTTCGGTTGGAGCTGACTCGTTGGCCAACCCTAAAGGATGAGATGTCACCTTTGCCTATTGAGGAAGGAAGCTGTGCGTGGCAACTTGTCCCCTGGCAGCTGAACTGGACGAGGCCCGGGACTCAGGTCGGACATAAGTCCAAGCAGTCTATCCAGATCTCCAACGGCGGTTTTATGCCTATGCGAGTCGAGTGGGCTTTAGCGCAGCCCCCGCGTCAGATTCTGGCACGATTGGCGGTGGGCGCAATCAACCGCTTGACAGACAAGTTGATCAATGAGATTCACGACTGGAGGGTACACCTGCCCAACAATCATTTAACGCCGCCTTGTCCATTCAAAGTGGAGCCGGCATCAGTGATGATTGAGCCATTCACCACCACCACGTTCAATTTCACTTTCGAAGCATTTGGGCCTGTGGGATCACAGTCTGCCGTTTTTGCGTACCTTATGGCACGGGATGTGCCTGACAGCATGGCTTGCTTGTTGCACTACAACCAATTACTGGACTTGCAGGATGAGATGCGGCCGGATACGGACTACTCGAAGCATCTCCCACTGTTTGGAGGCGTTGTGAGTGAGCCCTTCGATAAGAAGCTGAGGACCAACGGCTCGATGGATCCTCTTGACATCAAGGTGGCAGATCCCAAGGCCCCTGCCACGTGGATTCTTGTTCAAACGTATGAAGCTCAAGCGCCGGAGTAAGGCATCCGAAAACCTTGAACTTAGCACCAAGTCGCAAGCACAACGGGGGGTTACTCGTAGGAAAGGCGCCGGCCGTGTTTCAGGGTTGCCCGCGTAAGATCCCTTGCTCAGCCCTGAAGGATTGCGCCGTCAGTCGAGTCATCACCGCTGTTTGCCTCCAGGGCCAGAGCACAGGGCCCACTATTTCGACGATGCCTCGGGCCATCGTTTTGCCAGGGGACAGTTTACCTTTCGTGCCAAACGTTCGTGAAATCAAGCTCTACAACTCTGGTTCTCACTCCTCTTATTTCAGGGTACGCTTGACATCAACCCTCCACGCAGCTGATGCCAATTCGATTGACCCCCTTTGGGTGGTTTCAGTGCCTGAAGTTGGCATGAAGCCCCAAGAGCCTCAACCAATTCCGCAAGCAGATCCGCAGCTGGAAGAGATGAGGCTACAGGCTGCCCGGTTGGCAGCATCATGGCCGCCACTGCCACCCGAGCCAGGGCTGCCAGGTGCTTCGCAATTGCCAGGCTATGGAGCCTTGGCGTCCTGTGCAGTGGAGCCTCACGAGGGCCGCATCCCGCCAGGAGGTGCTGTCACGATTCGCGTGACTCTGCGTGCCGTGCATGAGTGCGATTTGGATGGACAGCTTGTCATTGACTTACCACTGGACTCCAAGAGCAGCGAGCCTGCAGCGCCGCCTCTCAAGGCAGCCTTTGACGAAGGGTCTCTCGTGTCTCCCGGTAAGCCTATCATTCAGGTCGTCATGAGAATGTAGCTAAAAAGTTGACACGTCTGACTCTTGTCAGGTGGGCATCGCAGCTGCTGTGCGAGCACCGCGGGCGGAAATGAGAAGCAAGTCCATTTTGGACTTCGGAGTTGTCCGGGCGCATTCCAGACACACTCTGAAAGTGCAGCTGACCAATCCGACAGAGTTGCCAATGCTTCTGCAACTCCGCCAGTTCAAGGCCAGGAGCAATTTGTCGAACATGATTTGGTGAAAGCAATGCAGCCAAGCCTGAGCAGGACACTGCGCGAAACCATGCCTTTCCTGTGGAGTCTCACCGGGAGGTGGTGAATTTGTTCGTGGATGCTGTGAATCGGAGAAGCCAGGAAGGCTTTGCAGCCATCGAGTCGGAGCAGTACTTGGAGGTCGTCGGGGGAAGTATCCCGTGTAGTTACACTGTCTTAGATCGGGGATTCATAAGTGATCTACGCCACTCTGAAGGTTCAGGGGGGTTAACGTACTCCTGAGGTCTCACTCACGCTGGTAAGTTGGGATTATCTGCAGGCGGCAGTGCAGCCATGGGTCCATTCGCGAAGCGGCTGTCTGGATCAAAGCGGTCGCCGGAAATTTGGAGCAAAGTCAAGGATTGCTGTCAGCAGCTAAGCTTGGCCTGAAGATGTCACAAGGGTTTTTACATGAGCAATAGTGTAAATTCCTTAGAGGGGGCTTATATAGGGGATCATAGACGGGCTTACATAGGGGAGTATTATGGGGAGTATTAAGGGGGATGCTAGGAGTGTAGGCTATAGCTCACACATTGTTCAACAGTCTAGCTCCAGATAAACACGACCGAAAAAGGAGCTCTGGTGTTGAAGATGAGCTGGATGCGATCAAGTTCGTGTCAGATGAGGAGGCCTCTAGTACCATGCCATACCATAACATACTATAGTATATTGTAATGTACTTTAAT